TCCAGTTACGATTTTAAATTCGGAATGCTCTAATCGTCTAAGGGAGGGGGTAGTTCACTCGTTCAATGTAATAGCCAGCATGGCCAAGTCATGGCCGCCTTCGATCGTAGTCGAAGTACCGCTGAAGGCCTTAATTAAACTTTGTCCAATTACGCGGTCGGTTGCGGTCGAAATCATAAAATCATGAGGAGAAGGAGACCGACGCCGTAGAGCATTGGTCGCGCTCAAGAAAACGGAGACTGGCTTATATAGGGTGGCTCGAAGAAGTGAATAAGTGATAACTTCGATTCACAGTAATTCATGATTCCGCAGAACTTACTTTCTTACGACCTTCTTTCCGCCTTGTTTCTGTATTTGGTGTTTGAACCCTCAGGAAAATTCGTAAAAGATATACGTCCAGCGGCTTGGGCTCAGCAAAAACGAATCTATCAGTCAGTCAGTTATAACATGTTATTGGAGGTTTGTTCCTACAAGCGGTTCGGAACTAGTTCATAACCGACTTAGAATTATTTTTGGGTGCATGCCCTGGTAAACTATAGTTCACGACTAGCTCAGAACTGTTCTATTGGGTCAGAGAATTACTTGCCGTTAACATGATCTCAATTGAAGCAAAATTGAGAATGTTCAAGTTTCTGTGTGCTAGACCTGGATTTGGGAGAATTCATTGTTGTTTGGCGAACTATACGGGGTGGGTGAACTACAAAGAACACCAGCTCTGTATCTCGGTAACCATTCAACCTAGGGCTATCGGTTGAAAATTTTTCTAATAGTCACGAAAACTTTCCGTGAATTATTTTCAGCTTCCTAAAATGGCCGCTAGGTAGTGTCATTCAAATGTCATAGCTTTATCGAGCTGATCAATCAATTTCCGAACTTTTTTGTTTACGTCGTTTTCTCATATTTAGCTTAAGGAGGGAGAAGAACTGAAGGTTATCTTAGAAAAAATCACGTGACTTCTGTTTGGATACATGATTTTGATGATCTAGGTTTCGTTTGAAATGGTATTCACCTGCGCTCCTAACGAATGTTTATTCATTCAGATTAGTTCAGTTTGTGACCGCAAGATGGCGTGTTGCGAATGTGTCAGCGTTTTATTTATGTTATCGAAAATACCAAATACAACGATATATTTTTTTAGTGATCGGAAAATGCGTAGCAAATCCTATGAAACAGTTAAAACCGCAGATCGATACTTTTACGGGTATTCGTTATGGAGGTATATTAAGAAATAGGCTTAAATTATAATGTGCAAGTGCTTCTGGATAAGAAGGATTCATGGTATGAATAGTTGTGTAAGATTACCATTATGACACGATTTTAAGATATTTTACTTTAAATTTTATTTTTAAGCTTTTGATTCATAACGGCATGGGGGCAGCTGTCGCCTGAGAAATGAAATTCTATAACTATACCTCATACTTATCTGTCAAGGCAGTGTTGCCAAACCGACATGAAGTGCTTAGAAAATGCTACATTTCTACTGTGCTGTATGGAGTTGAATTCTTTTCACAGTTTTTGGTCATTTCGTCAAAAAGTCATAGGCGTGACATAAGTAAACATATCGTCTTGAGGCCAAGCTGTCTAGATAACTGACAACCATACAAAATACACCGACGAATGGTCAAATGAGCAATTAGAGGTTAGACAAAATTTTAATCTCGAGCTGACATGCCTCTTTTTATAAAACTAAATTGTGAAATATACCGCATAGGCCCATACAAGTCAAATAGCTGTGTGATACCAGGGATGTCTTTTAAGTTTTGCATATGGAAATAAAACAACACTGTAGGTAGTTTTAAATTACTTTATTGTTTTTCGAAGTATTCTCCACGAAGATTAATACACATGCATGCGCCCGATTCAATTTTCGAAGCACATATTCCACTCGTTTGCTGGCAGATCCAAAACGGCATTTTTGAATGCGTCAACTGCTTCTTCTGGTGACTGAAAGTAAAGAAACCGTTAGGACTTAGATCTGGACTATATGGAGGATGGCCCAATAATTCCACGTTTTCTTCCGTTAAATACTGCCTTGTTTTTTGGGCTGTGTGCAAGCTTGCATTGTCTTGGAGGAGGATAATTCTTCATTCGGGGTTGATTTTTCGAAGCTCGGTGATGACTTTTGGCAAACAGATGGTGGTATACCAATCCACAGTAACAGTTCTTTGCTCATTAAGAGGAATTGTTGCAATATGACCCGCTTTTGACACAAATGTCGCGACCATCTTTTTCGAAACACTTCGAGAACGGATGACTTTTGTTGGCTTTTCTTCACCTTGGAACACCCAAACAGCCGACTGTCGTTTATTTTCTGGTTCGTAACAGTAAATCCACGATTCATCACCACTAACAATGCTGTACATATTTTTTGAGTTTCCGGAATTGAAACGGTCAAGCGTTTTTTGACACCAATTAACTCTGGCTGCTTTCTGCTCTTCAGTCAACAGGTCCAACGAGAAACTAATTTTCTTACTCCTAATTCTTCATGTAGATTTTTTTGAATTGAGGTCTTTGAGATCTTCAAGGACGCCTCAATCTCGCGATATGTCACATGTCTATCTTCAATGATGAGTTTGCGCTCAGCGTCGACGTTTTCCTGGGTGACTGCCGTTTTTGGTGCACCCACCCTGGGATCGTCGCTCAGACCTAGCCGTCCACGTTTGAATTCTCCATACCAACGGGAAATTGTCGACTGATGTGGCACTTCGTTACCGAAAACAGACAGTAACTCAGCAAGGCATTCTTGTTGCGATAATTGTCTCTGAGAGTTGTAATAAATTATGGCGCGAAAATGTTCTCGGTTGAGTTCCATTTTTCTAATGACTTGGTAACACTTAAAAATTCACTGTAGTAGGAACATTGCACGTATTGTTGTTAAACTTTAAATTTAAGTTTACTTAAGAGTGAGGTTAAGATTCAGTACTGACATTCGATCCGCGCGGCCGACTATGTTTCTATATGCAAAACTTAAAAGACATCCCTCGTAACTATCCGGTTTCGAGAAAAGCTTCTGTCTACCTGATACGGAAAAAATATGTATTCCGTAAGCTCAAAATGGATGATGAATATCCCCATCATGAATAAATGCCAAAACAAAAGTAAATTTGAACAAAAGATGCTTTCACTACTAGTGATGGATAGTGAATTCATCTGAAAAGTATTATCTATCAGGCAACACCGCATGGACCTCTATCATATATATAATTACTTTTTGCTAGAAGTATGACGTAGGTTGACTGAGTCTAACCGATTTCAGAGAAGATCCATACAAATACAATACACATTTCATCGCATCAGAGATACAGAACTTCAACACATTTGTAAACAACCAGTTGTGAATCACATTCCACAACCCTGTAAAATCTCTGTCAGCGCCGCAACGCGCGACGCAGCGCTTCTGTAATTATTTCTTTAATGAGTAGGGTTTTCTTAGGAATTGGAGTTTGAAGTTTGTTTTAAATGGCGGGCGAGGTATTAAAGTGGAGAAAGGGAGGCTTTACGGATGACGGATTCCCTTAATTTCAAAGGGAAGAGAGAACCTCGCCATTGTTACCACGTCCCGCCATGTGACAGTCTCCAGACTTTATGCAGGGATTTTCTCTTCAGTCAGAATGAATCTGCGTTATTGGATATTGCAAAGTTAATGGAGCACAAAATTGTGTTTGCGAAAATTCTTGCGGTTACTTTTGCTAAATATTTTTATGAGATTCAAATACCCCATATGTATCTTGGAAATTAAAGACAAAATGAATGTTATAATGCCGTAATACCTGAATTACTTGCATCCATTTTTCAAATAATAATTGTCTTTACTTATAATTATTACATTATAAAAGGGTGAATCTTAGCTCATGTACCTATTCTTCCACTGGACCCAAATATAAAAAAAACAAAGTATGATACTGAACAAAATTATGTGAATGTATCTAAATTTGAAATTAAATCGTCAAGCACATAGACACAAAAATACACTATTTATGCCGGCGGTGATCTTTCAAATAATAATGTTTAAGCCTATTTAATGACAAAGAAATTTTAGATTTCCCGGAATAGAGTTGTTTTTTCGCTGGTATCTAAGGAAGAGACTTATTTAAAATTAGTGTATTCGAAGTAGTAAAGGTAGTAACTCCGCATCCTATGTCCGGAAAAATATTTTGATTCGGATTTTTTACATAATCTCATCCAAAAATGCCATTTTTTAACGAATCTGAATATGGCCAGGCCCAAAGTTGCGTTAAAAATTGTTTAAAAGACTTTTCTATACGAATTCGAAACACACATACTTTGCTGCGGTCAAGATGTTTTTAGGTTTTATTATAAGCGCATTCTAAACAAAAAAATACTATTATGAAAAAAAGAAGATTTCAATGCTGCTAATGTTCCTGAATGTTCTTCAAACATTCGTCAACGAAACCATAACATTTTTTTAATAAAAAAAATGTTTGAATAATATTTTGGCCCCAGCAATATGCAGATTCGTTAAAAAGTGTCCTTTTCGGACAAGATCATGTGAGAAAAATCCGATATTTTTTCCGAACAGAGGCGCCTAGAGGTTTGCTCGAGGAGTGGTCGGGGACTTGTCGGTGACTGTATCTGAGATCCGGCCGTGTGTATTTCGTCTATATAGCGTAGCAGAATGAACGGAATTTGTGTGTCAGGATCTTGGATGCGATCTCTGACATCTTGGCGACAGCTGTACGAACAGAGCTTAAGTGAACTAAATAACATCTACATCTAAATCCTCCTGTACTTCCTGTGAACGAATCGGTCAACAAGATTTGAACTTTATTCCGGATCCTGATATAACATTGCACGAAAAGCGTACCACATCACGCTTAAACTCATTATACTGCATACGTAGCTTAACTACAGCTAGTTTCGTTACCATTTTATTCCGAGCATCGCTCAGGATTATCTATTTTCTTTGTATCATGTTAGTTGAATGAACCATTTAGCAATCAATACTATCTTTGATCTATCCACACTTAATTCCTTTGCAGTGCGAAGAGCTGCTATCTTCAGGAGATATGTGCATCTTCGCGTCGCGAGCAGGGCCGAACGTGTGCTGGCACCCCGCTTGCTTCACTTGCTGCGTTTGCAAAGAGCTGCTCGTAGACCTGATTTATTTCGTCAAGGAAGGCAGATTGTACTGTGGCAGGCACCATGCAGAGACCATCAAGCCTAGGTGCTCCGCCTGCGATGAGGTAATCTTCCAAAGACATTTATCATTATTGCATTCATTGCGCACTGCTACACAGTGTGAACCATTACCCAGACCAACAACCATTTTAGTAACGGAATAATAATATTTTGGATTCGTTGATTTTTTCGTAGCATCTCCAGTTTTCGAGATACCTATAATCAATTGGATATTTGAAAAAGTGCGAAATATACCAGAAACGAAAATTTGTGTGTTGCTAAAGTTCCTGAACGTCCTTTAGACATTCAATAACAAAATCCTAAAGCATTTTAGGGAGTATTCTTATTGTAAACCTTTGTTTTTGAATTATTCATAGTTGACTCATCATGTCAATGATGAATGAGCGTACGTCTTAAAGTAAGTCTCATGAAGATGTAAGCTTATCCACCTTCCAAGCAGCTTCATTAAAAAGTAAGCCAATTATAAGCAATTAAAACACGATTTTCAACAACATAACTCCCTAATTGCTTTGGAATTTTTTTAAAGGATATTCAAAAGATAATTAGGAACTTTTTCAATAGAAAAATTTTCGTTTTTTCATATTGTTTTGCGGTGTCTAAAATGGCATATTTTGAATTTTTTTCAAAAATTGAATCGATTAATGAAAAATAGATTTTTGGAATAAGCGTGCCAGGAATATTTGAAGAATTGTTACTTCTTTAAGTAGATATCTTCGTGCCGAAGCTAAAGATTAAGGAATCAGCCAGCCTAGAGAACTACAAATTGTAGCGCTTCAAGCACTTGACTCCACCTTCATTGAAATTAGTGAGGAATTGTAAAGAAGCTCTTAGTAGCATAGGGGATGGAAATAAGATCCATCTTAATGGTTACCACGACATACAGGTATAAAGGGTAACGACGCTCTGACAAAGAGTGTATCTAGCTCACACTTCATAGTGCCTGAACCAGCGATGGGATCGCGTACAATACGGCTAAACAACCAGTCTTTGTAGAGATGGAAGGAAAGATCCATCAACACTGGTGGAGATACCATAGCAATCTTAAAAAAAGGTAACAGGAACTGTACACTGGTCATCGCAAATTTCGTCACCACATTATGTGATGGTTAAACATGTTTTATGCCCCGCAAGTGGCATAGTCAGGTACAATACACTTGGGGGAATAGAAATAGAAGACCCGGAAAATATTTCTCCAAATAAGCTGATCATCTTACTCTGAAGGTAGGACTTACTGGGAGAAATATAAGTAAGTGTGAGCGACAATAGACCAATGAGTCACAGTGGAGGATCGTGAGTGACCCACGCACACGAAAACCTAATCTAACCCACTTCTCCGGCATCAATTGTTTTTCATTTTGTTGCAGTTAGGTCTGCTAAACCAATTTACCTAAAGCTTGTTTCTCAACTTGGTACGCTTGGAACATCGAAAACCTACCGCTTATACTCTTTTGTTTCTGGGAAAGTGAGACCCAAATCTACGAACATTCGAAATTCGAAATGAACTCGTTGCGCAAATTTCAATTTTATGGTTATTAGATACTAGATATGCCATGGATAATACCAACTACATGTTTCGACACGGTTAACTGAGAAAAAAAGGTTTGAAGTTGGAACTTTCGATACGGCTTCGTCACCTGATAGACACGTCTAAAACCTCGCATTTTTATAGAGATATTTTCCAACTCCTCTTTGCTTTACACTCCACACATCAAAGAGGCAGTATTGTAATCGTAAAAAACTTCAAAAATACTTTATTGTGGTTTTTGGATTTTATATGACATGTTCATTTCGAAAAACAATGTCACCTAATTGCCATTGGCCTGTCTATCTGAAGGTTACCACTATTACAAGGGCGAAAAGCCTTGTAGTTTTTGACAAGCACTCCATTGAGAGCAGAACTAGAGGCAAAAAATGAACATATTCTCTTAAACTTCTTTTTTCTACGTTCTGCTCCCCCTCCTGCTCATTGTCAGAAGAAAATTTCGTAGTCTTTGAAAAATGGGGGTTGGATGTTGTGGGGAATAGTTAAATATTACATCTTTGGTATCAGTGAATGAAGCTTCATTATTTAGGAATTTATGATGCTGGAAGTATGAATCACCTGTTAAACACGATATCACAGATATTTCGTATAATAAATATGTATTTACGTCTGTGACTGTCAAAAATCAGGTATCCAGAAACACGTGATATTTTTGACCAGCGGAGGGTCGGATTCCAATTCAGCAATACCTACGATAGCCCAGCCATCGAGTTCAACGGCTCACTGATATGTACAAAAGTTATCCAGATATTTTGCATAATATATAGTCAATGCCGATTATTTCAAACAAAAATTTAAATCAACATCCGATCATATTCATTCTATAACGTCAGAAGCTGTAAGGATTTCCATAGCCGGCGAATAGTCAGAGTACAAAAGTTGGCTTAGAAAACTATACATGTTTTTTTTTTATATCGAAACAGCCGCGCAGGCATAAGCCTAAATGCCGGAACACCGCGGCTGCTATGATGATCCCAAAGAAATTTTGTTAATACGATTTTTGAACTGCCTAAGGTTAGTAGAACTGGGAAAAGCTTCCTCCCGTAGATTGTTCCACAATCTAGACACCCTCGGGACAAAGGAGCGGTCGTATCGGCCAGTTCTGGATGTACGAAGTTTGACACGGTTAGGACGGGACGCCGAAGTCAGGCGGGTCTGTCTGGCAGGCACATCGCGCGGCGGCATCATAGAAGAGAGCTCTGAGAAGCAAAGCCCGTTGGTGTAGCGATAGAAAAGAGCTAGATCGCCGACGGCCCGCCGGTGCGAAAGAGTCCCGAGACTGTCTGTTAGAGAAGAGTCATCGATCAGTCGGACCGCCCTCCTCTGGACAGCATCGAGCATGGACAATGTAGTCGGGCGGCAGCACCCCAAATGTGTGAGCAATACTCGAGGCTAGGCCTTATCTGGGCCTTGTATAGAGTGAGAAGGTCATGCGGAGAAAAGTACTTCTTAGCCCTAAACAAATAGCCTAGCTTTTTCCCAGCAGCTGCAGCAATTGAAGAGATGTGTTCGTGCCAGATCAGGTCCTCGGTGATCTGGACTCCGACCAGCCGAAATGAATGGATCTTTGGTACAACTCGACCGTCCATCGAAACTATATGAGCGCTAGGACGCTTTTTGTTCGTCAAAGTACAGTACATGTTGCCTTCAAAGTCCATTTGTCCATCATTGCGTCAATCTACATGACGCCATTTTTTCAGATTATTCTAGCAGACGAATGCACGGAAGCTGAAGGAAGAGCCTGGCACATGAAGCACTTCGCATGCTCAGAATGCGAGAGACAACTGGGTGGCCAAAGGTACATAATGAGAGACGGAAGGCCATACTGCTTGCACTGCTTCGACGCCATGTTTGCCGAATATTGTGACTCCTGCGGAGAACCTATTGGAGTAGATCAAGGACAAATGTCACACGAAGGTTAGTTATACAACAGTGACATCATATAAGTTGTATTCTTGAAGACTGTCTTCCAACTTGTGAATGCCTTCAGATGTATTAGTTCAGAAGTTTGACCATACACTAAGTTGTAAATACCTACTACCTTCACATGTATCAGTTAATAGTTTGGTCAGACTCTAGCTTACATTCCACGAGGAATCATTGCTAAAAAGGTATTTTCTCTTATAGATCAACATTAGATAAGTTAAGAAGTTTGACCATACTACAAAATAGGACCTATAAGATACCGTTCCCAAAAAAAGCTATATTTCTCTTCTGTCAAAAGTTAAGAAGTTTGGTCATACTCTAACATACTACCCATGAAATACCACTGCCAAAAAAATATTTTACTGTTCTAGGTCAACATTGGCATGCAACCGAAAACTGTTTCTGCTGTCACACTTGCCATACGTCTTTGTTAGGAAGACCGTTTTTACCCCGCAGAGGTGCCATCTATTGTTCCATAGCTTGCAGCAAAGGGGAACCTCCTACACCTAGTGATAGGTAAGCCAAGACCCTTGAATATTCTATGAGCGTCCTATAAACATCGCATATATATTCTATGGAGGTTCTATGACTGTTACATAGATGTCTTATGAACATTCCATGAATATTTTCTGTGACAGCATTATTTTTGTAGTTCTGGTCCCCAAACTCGAGTTCCTAGACAGCAGTGCCGTACCCGTCCTCCAAGAACAGCTAGTCCAAATGATAGCATCACACCTCCTCAAAGCCCGCGACAAGGAAGGCACATGCCACCTCCAAGGTCTCCTACGATGTCTTCGCCTTCTTCTCCTCCAGCACCGCTTCATGTTAGCCCTTATGTCACCAGGTAAAACCCAGTTCAAAAGAAGATTACTATTTAAGCAGCCAGTAATTCAACAATGTGCTTCTAGTTAGACCTGTTACACCTACACCTACCTATCGCTTACTTAAAGCACCAATTATTCGCCAAACTCATGCAAGATCAAAAGTTTATTAGCGATTCCAATCAAAATTAATGCATCTTTCTTTTAAAGGTCGCCAACCGGGTCCAGGTCTCCAAAGATGGGTAAGAGAGCCCTCCAAAGGTCTCCGAAGCCTCCTTCCATACCAAGTACTCCTACTTTCCAAGACACCACAGCTCAAACTGGAGAAGAACTAGCCACCAGAGGTCTAACGAGTGCCTCACCTGTGAATAGAGGATTGGACAGGGTGCTTTTGGAGAGGAACCTTGAACGGTTACTTGTCGAGAGGGGAAATCAGGTAAAGTAATTCAGCAAGTCAGATACAAACAACAAAAAATACAACACGAATCACAAAACACAGTAGGTCAAGTAATGACGTATCTCTCAATGACAGATAATCCTAAAAATCACATTAAGACATTAGTAGCTCTATCTCACAATAACACATTTCTTCCATGTCAATCGAAAATATCAATTCTTCTGAAAGTCTAGACTATTTTCTCAATAACAACATTTGAAATAGCAAAGCTAAAGTGCAATGCATGAGCAACGAAAAAGTAAAGAAAATAAAGACATGTACGCACTATATGTCGCCGACACACCTCATACCTCTCCACCTAATCATTTGCTGAGGGACAGGACTCAAGACTTTGATTAATCTCTTACTAGAAAAAACTTATTTTTACAAGAACGGTCTGTAAAGAAAAGCCCCAACTTTGAGAACACTTTGTGTACAGGTCAGATAATACCGATCTTAGAACTCATACCTGAAACATGGTACACATAAATTAATCTTTGCTGTATATATACTAAGTGACATATAAATCCGAACGCCCAGTTTAAATGGCTTTATTTTAATAAAAGTTGGTGAATGTATTTATCTTACTGCAAATATCAAGTGAGCCTTATCAGTTGGACATTCCGGTTTTTATACTGCTTTTTTTTAATTCACTAACGCTCTAAAAATGAATATTTCAGCCGCAGTAAAGAATCAACGTTGGCGGATTTTGGTTCTTGACATCCTTTTCGATCGGTTACGATGACTAGAGTACGGAGACCTGTACGATTTCGTCAACTTAGTGAGTTTGATAGGGGCCGTCTAGTGGGACTTCGGGAAGCTGGACTTTGTTTTCGGGCAATTGCAGTTAGAGTACAAAGAAGTGTAGACACTGTGGTTAGGTGTTGTCAGGCATGGCTTCGAGAAGGCCGTACGCAAAGAGCAAGGGGCACTGGACGCCGCCGTAGAACAACAGACCGTGAAGATCGCCGCCTAGGATTATTGGCCTTAAGGGACCGTTTCTTCACTACCAGGTCCATTGCAAATGAATGGTTTGCAGAACACGGAAGACCTATTGGCATGCGAAGTGTTTACCGACGAATGAGAAGTTTTGGCTTGTTTTCATACCGGCCACACTGGGTCCTCCCTTTAACTCGAGAACACCGACGTAATCGGCTTGAGTGGTGCAGACAACGGTCACTCTGGGATCAGGAATGGAACAGTATTGTCTTTAGTGACGAGTCTCGATTTTGTTTAGGCATGCACGATGGTCGTGCCAGGGTTAGAAGGCGACGTGGTGAAAGGAGGAATCCACAGTTTTTTGTTGAAAGACATGTTCATCACACTATTGGAGTTATGGTTTGGGATGCTATAGCTTATGGTTCCAGGTCACCTTTAATCTTCATCAGAGGTAACATGAACGCGCAGCGTTATATCCACGAAGTTCTAGAACCCCATCTTTTACCCTATCTTGACACCCTGGCAGATCCAACTTTCCAACAAGATAATGCCCGACCACATGTTGCAAGAGTCACAATAGACTTCTTTCAACATAATGATGTCACATTGTTACCATGGCCACCAAGATCTCCCGACTTATCCCCAATTGAGCACATGTGGGATATGATGGGTAGGAGATTGCTCAATTTGCAACGTCCTCCTCAGACTCTAGAAGCACTTCGAGAGAAGTTGGTGGTTGCCTGGAATGGGATACCACAGGAGGACATTGACCACCTGATCAGGAGCATGCCTACGCGCGTTGGAGAATGCGTAGCACATCAGGGTGCATCCACACATTATTAAAGGTCAAAGGGTTTAAAGCAGTGCAATCATTTTGAAATTTTTATCATTTACATATTATGCTTCATTAAGTACTTATACAAAATTTTATTAAAATAAAACCATTTAAACTGGGTGTTCGGATTTATATGTCACTAAGTATAAATTTCCTTCAAAATGTATGTGATCATAATCTATACATATAATCTCGTCGCTACGTTATAGGGTCATTCTTCTGACTTGGAAAAACTCCTTCACGCTCGAGATAGAAGTAGAGAACCCCTGCACTTAGCAGATTTGAGTATAGACGATTGGCCTGAAAGACCTGAAGATAGTGACCATCAAAAGCAAGAACCGGCCAATGAAGACAAAGAGAGTAGCAGGAGCGGGGCAGAAACTCCTCCTCAACACGCGTCATCAATGCCAGAGTTGGGAGTTCAACAAGTGAGTAGCGAGAGTACGGGGGACGCAACCACGCCTGGATCGTCAAGTAAAAGGAGTCGAGGGTTACTTAGCGTCAGGTAAGCTTCATATGGAGTAGAAAAATGCGAATTGTTTGATTTTCTGATTGCCCATATCAAAACTGCACGTTTCCATTTGAAAAATATAGTTGACCTGTAGATAACCTTGAAAATGTCATTCAAGCGGACTGCTGAACATACACCTTATACATTGGCGCTGCTCAAGTCGATATAGCAAAATTCCATTGTCTTTAAAACAACTGCTCTCGATCATTGAGATTTTTAACATGCTTTTTTTAACATGCTTTTTTTATTTCATTTTTTATTTTTAACACGCTTATATTAGCTTCGCCTGTGTGTATTTATATAACGGAACCTTTGAGCATAATTTTCAGCAATTTCCAGAAGTTTGATTAATTTAAAACTTCGCACACGTATCAAGGACCGATGGCAATGCAATAATTTGATAACAGTTTCCATTATCCTTATAAGAAAAATTCTGTAAACGCAAATTGTTTAATAAAAAGCCCTCGGATTTCAAGTGCCGAATTACGAATATTGCAATTACAAGCCTCTGTAACTCAAGTGGCAAAGCACTGGTCTTGCAAACCAGGGGTCGTGAGTTCAATCCTCACAGGAGGCGGATTGTGCTATACCTTTTTTTTATCACGCCTTTATTAGCTTGACCTGCATATGTATGTATGTAATGGAATGTTTGAGCATAATTTTCACCAATTTCCAGAAGTTTGATTAATTTTGAACTTGGCACACGTTTCAAGGACCGATGATAATGCGATATCATCGCATGTCCACAAAAAAATAATTGATAAATCGAACAAAAAAAATGAAAAATGAATAATAGTTTAAAAAAACTACAAAACATGTTTTTCTCGCTAACCGGACTAAAAAGTATAACAAAATTCTTAATTACAAAGAGTTTATATAACAGTAGTATATGGTCGAACGATCAATCATAATTAATGACCTCAAAATAAAATTATAGTAAAACTTATGTTATTAGCAGAATAATTCAATTGAGAGTAAACAAAGTGAGGTGCATTTTACTATATTTTCATAACTCTCCTCTCATAGATAGTTGCCACGCTCTTTACTCTGAATTCAATTATTCTGTTAATGACTTAAATTTTATTAAAATTTTATTTTGAGGTCATTAATTATGATTGACTGTTCGACAATCTATTACTGTAATATAAACTCTTTGTAATTAAAAATTATATTCTACTTTTTAGTTCGGTTAGCGATAAAAGCGTGTTTTTTAGTTTTTTAACAATTATTTATTATGTAATTGAGACGTTGCTCTTAGGATACGCCGAAGCTAATTCAGCTACGTCAAATATCCAGTAAGTATGCAATCAGTCTATTTTGTTGTAGGTTTCAAGGTGACAATGAAGCTTTTGAAGCCGATGAAGCTGATGGAGAGGCAAGACGGTTTCCACGAAGTCGAAGCTATTCTGGAGGAGGCGGACGGCCTAGTAGGCATGGAAATAGTCTAGAAAGGCGATCAAGATCAAAAAAGTCATCCACAGATATCCAGGTAATACGACTATATTAATATGCAATGATGCAAGCTCAAGATGGATTCTGTTTAAAGAAAACGTAAACTTCAGCAGCAAAGAATGTAGAAAGTATTTTTTATTTCGTTTTTCGCCGACCTTTTCATAGTTCTTAGATTTTCTCAAAAAGCATTCTTTAATTATCACCCTACATAGTTGTGCTCTTAGGTCTGCGAAACCGCTTGACTTACTCAATCCATCTTGTTCAAACACATTTTCGCATCTAACTAGGTGCCCCAAAAATTACTAAAAAACATCCTAAATGTCCAAATAGATGCAGTTCATCCTCACGACCTTGAAAAATGGTTCTTAGACCATTAATCTTCCCTAGTGCGTCCCGCACCCTTATTACTAAACGCAACTTTATCTGTCCGATTGCATTCCCTTATATCAGATTGAGATTTATAATGTCAGATTACGATTTTTTCAAAGTTCATAAGTGGCTTGCAGTTCCTATGTGTGTTGCCTACTTTAAGACTGCAGCACTGCTCTAGAGATAGAATCCTGTTTGCTGATCCTATCGAATCATTTCCGGCTCAATTATCGAATACTGCTGAACCTGTACGCATCGAAATGCATTCAGGTTCAGCAACTAAATGCGGTACTTATATGGTCTCTTATCTTTCCTCCACCACATCGAAAAGTATACTCTGTATAGTTGGTGTTCCACGATCCTGCCACCCACAAACCACGCTAGCGAAATGCGCGTTGCAGTGCTTTAGACAAATATAGTTGTCGTTGCCGTTCTTGGCGGGTCAGAGTAAGACTACCAGTATCCTTTATATATCTCCATCTCCCTCATGTATACACATGCAGCCTTCCCCTATGTGTGAACGTTTGTTCGGTAAGCTCAAAGACATACGTTTTTTAGTTGTGTCTCTCCGTCTCATCATATTTGTCAGAGTGACAACTTATTTGATATCGGCGTGTAATGTATATATATACTCGTATAATGAATAATAATAAAATTGTATAATGCCCGGAAATACGATCAATGGAAGAGGCGGACAGCTTGTGCCTAATTTATTAGAGTATTTCCAGGAATACAGAGGTCCCTTTATGCGTACTGGAGAGAGTAGCAGATGCGCTGAAGATTAGTCTGCGTAGTGTTCCGCCCATGGTAGGGAGACTCGATCTGTTTACTTATTTCATATGGCGTTGACGACGTAACCGCCAAGAATGGTGACTTCAACTATAATTAATTTGTTTATAATGTTCAAAAAAAAAGTATATATATATATATATATATATATATATATATATATATATATATATATGTAGTTACTACAGCAACAGTTCAAAAGCCCTACCGTTATAAAAACTGATCAGATCTTAGACAATTTCAAATCTTAAAATGATTTCCTTAGAGACAAACTAACCAAAAATGCTGTTGTGCCATTTCTGCATAGGTGGGGGTAATGTAGTGTGGACTACTTGAATAATGAACATAGGAATGCATTTTGATAACTCAGTTGTTCAGTATATTCAGACTAGATAGAAGGAGCTAGCATATAACTTGTTTTGAACCAAAATACGTATTCATACGTATTCATTACGTAACCAAACCCAAGAAGCTTCTATACACGCTGGAGGGGACTTTCAAAGTATCAGACGTCAAAACCTGCGCCTTGCGGGCCGTCTATGAGAAACTGTGCTCTTGGGCGACAGAAATCGATTTGAATCAGTACAGAGCAGTGGCGAAGCGTCCATGTAACCATTGTTACCATTGGTAACAGTTAAAAATCTTAAAAATAAATATTTTATGACTAAGTTCTGTGAAATAATTTCATTTATTTGTTTACCAACAGCGATATGTAATAGTAATTCAGTAAATAGCAAATTTGCCCCACGAAAATAGTGCGCCCTATAGTGTCTAGGTTTTGCGAACACGCTGAAGCTGACTCGCCTCGACTTGGTTGTCGGTTGTTACCATTTTCATTTGTGGATACACTTGATAGTCTGTCTGGGACCGTCGGTTCCGGCTCGTGTCTGATCGCTGTCGCCCGAGAGCGTGGGGCGCTGCGACTATTATGTGGGCTTGTTACCATATTTTGATTTGGTTACTCACTCGTTAGTAGCCGTTTTGGTTACCGGCTGTAGAATGCGTGCAATGAAACATGGATGAGAGTCGCTGCCTAATCAATCAACTACTTGAAAACTCATTCTACTTGTATAATCTTTAAGAAAAAAGGAGATCAGTGAAAATGGAAGAGCAACACCTATTTTAGATCATTTTAAAAAGGAATAAAAAACGTAGTTTGATATTTTAAATTAAGTTGGTATATGAGAACTCTTGTTTATGTGGTTGTAAAAAAACAGATTGTATTGTTGGCGATGTCCTCTGTTTCATACAGAATAAAATGCATCAGAGACAACGATTTAAATAGTTTTAGGGCTCTAAAGAGGAGCAATGAAATTTCTCCGTTACATGTGAGATGTGTAGCCAATTTAATTCAGTCTGGCAAAACAAAAATCTAAAGTTGTCTTAACCAAGCTTTTAGGCAGCACACTTCTAGATACCGTATGTTTATTGGTAAGACAGGAATTACCGTTCATTTTGAAGGGGATGACTCTGACAATAGAGGAAATTACAGGGAATTGTTAAGACTCATTGCCAAAAAAGATCAAAAATTTTCCGAACATCTAGAAACGTCGACTGTTTTTCGAACGGCTTGGATTAGTCATAGCATAAGACGATAAAGTATATCAAGTGCCCCAGACGCTCAGTCCAGGAATGTTTACCTTAATTTAAAAATAGTTTAAATAAAATACCTAAGATAAGCAAAAACTTATATATGGAAGATTCAAAATAACATTTTTTTAATAAGATTTTTCACATCTGGTTTTGGTAACAGTTTAAGAAAAGTCACGCGTCGCCACTGCTACAGCGTTAAGCAACTCGAATCCCATTTGGAGCTCACAGGCCCAGCTTGAAGATCGCGTCAAGTTACTCAACTTAACCACATTCTCCGACCCAGGAATTCGAGGCGATCACATAGATAGTTTTAGAATACTTCATGACTTGATTGACACCAACCTGAAGCACCTATACCAACTGTCACGCAGCAGTCTCTGTGATCACAGATTTAAACTGCAAACGGAGTCGTTTAGAATGACAGTCCGACAGTGGTTTCTCCCCAATCGCATATTCAACACTTGGAACAGTTTACCAGAAAGTGTGGTTAATGCTACGTCAGTCAAAAGCTTCAAAGTGTACTACGATAGCTGGAACAGTGAACTTTTTCTTTTAATTTGCCAATAATAATAATAATAAAAATTACATAGTCAGTAGTCAGGTTGCAAGTTCACATTAAGGGCTTAAGCCAGCAGTTTGCCAGTTGTTGACATTTGATATTAAAACTGTACCTTTCTTTGCAATCATATAAAAGTGCGTGGGTTTCATACAATCGTAGTGTTCCAGATATTTGCCGAAAATTGTTAAGGGTTCAGTGAAGTGCAAAAAGCAGTTTAAGTTGAGTAGGTAGGACTATAAAGTTTTGTCCCGCCACAATTCAGTCGCCATCATGCGTTGAAACGGGGAGGAGCGTGGTTTTGCCGTTGAGGGTTACTTTTCACTGTTCTGTGATCGCAACCCAGCGCGCATTTCGGAATCGCTTCAATTTAGCCTCGTTGGCTCCTGCCCCAGACCGAAAAACAATTGTGACGTGTACCACTGCGTTCAGGTATACTGCAAGTACGAGAAAACATTGAGATAGCGAGAGCTTCAATGTTGCGGTGACCACGGCGTTTTGCGCGCAAACATGCGTCTGCCCTTGGAGGGTTGAAGGTTTTTTTCTCCACGGCTAGATGGGTTGAACTTAAAAAGACGATGCAACAGCACATACTTCAAGAGCATCTATGGCTGTTTAGTGGAAATACTTCCCAGAGCGCCTCAACTCGATAAGGGATGATTTGGAATGGCCCGTCCGTTCTCCCGATTTGCTCCCCTGTGGGGTTTTTTGAAGTCCCGTATTTATGTGGACCGTCCAAGAACCCTACAAGATTTGAAGACTAACATTCAGGAAGAAATTTCCAATACAATGCCTGCTATGCTGGCAAAAGTCATGAAAAACTCCAGAAATCGGTAGGTATATTCAGTTTATGGAGATTGAAGGAAGTCATCTATCTGATTTGGTCTTCAAAAGTACGTAAAACAAAACTTTAGGTATGCGCAAACAAATAAAAATATTCCGATCCATACAATGGGCTTTATTAAGTATTGAAGAAAGGAACTTATGCTGCCACAGCCTATACATTACACATATACATTATTCCATTTCTTTCTTTAATTACTCAGTCCAAATCTAAAGCTTGCTTACATAATTGTGTACCTAACAGCAACATTAAACATGCAAGATATTGGATAGATACTGGAAAGGGTCAGCTGACACTTAAATTTGTCTTGTCCTCTTTAATTTGAATCTGAGACTTCTTGGGAAAATCTTTACTTTCGCGTAATAAATGGCAATTTCACTTTTTCATTTTAGTGCCACGATATTCTATTGAGGAAGCTCAATAGGCGCATAAAACTATGGATATCAAATTAATTAAATTAATTTCAAAGATTTTTTATTGGACATAGTGACAATGGTATAATAGCACTAATTTCCACACTATGCTCAACTAGATATTTACTTTTAGCCAAGAATATGCTTGTTAGAAGAACCGAGCAGAATTAGCAAGGTTTCAGTATCAGGTATTCCGGCATTTGTGCTGTTTGATGAGACAATTTTTCGTATTTTCAACTTCAGTATCACGAATTAAGCATAATTGTTCATATGCTTGCCGTAAATAAAAATTTGCTTTTCTTTCTTTGCTTTATTTAATGTATCCATGTTTATTAACTTTGAATAAGCGATTCAACATAGCAACACAGATATAGTTCTTTTTGCGGTGTTTCGCGGTGCAAAGTAAAACTACAGGAATTGCTTTCATACATCCATCTCTCAAATACACACACATGCAACCTACCCCTGTGTGTGAACGTTTGTTCGGCAAGCTCAAAGACATAAGTACGTTTTTTATTTGTGTGTCTCCGCCTCGAAAACTTTGTCGTTACGTATGAGTGATCATATTTGTCAGAGTGACAACTTACTTGATATCGGCATGCAATCTGAGTTGTCATGTTATTAATCTTCAATATAACGTTGTACAATGCCCGGAAATACGATCTATGAAGAAGGCCGACAGCTCGTGCTAAATTTATTAGAGTATCTCCAGGAAGAGAATGAAAATAGCAGTCTCCTGCTACCCACTTCATGCGTACTGGAGAGAGTTGCAGATGCGCCGAAGATTAGTCTGCGCCCATTGTACGGAGACTCGATCTGTTTACTTATTTCATATGGCGTTGATGACGTAACCGCCAAGAACGGTGACTACAACTCAGCATATAGGCTTGGCTCCTTGTAATATATTCAAATTCATTGCCATTATTAAATTGCATTTTTTGCGTTGCTTGTTCTTTCAGCTACACGAGCGCTTGAATTGGAATTTAAGTGTTTAGAATCTACATAGAAAAATTATTTTCAGGCTCCTTCTACATCCTCGCGACGAGATACCGAAGACGACTCTATAAGCTACTGCTCAACCTGTTCCTCCAGCTCTTCCAGTGACGATCTAGACTACCAGCTCCCTCCAAGGAGAGCATATGGTGGAGTGAGGATCTCCTATGTCCCCAACGATGCTCTTGCCATTGCCAGAAGAAGACAAGCCACAGAAGGACAGCACAGATCACCAGGAAAGCGGCCAATGGATGATAGAGATAAGAATTGCGTCATATCTTGATGTTGGCGGAGAATGTGGGTGAAAGAGTGTGGGAGGAGTAAATGTGGTGTCTACTGCGAATTTATAAAAAGTGTCTAAGCTATCAGCATTTTGCCGCTGTGTTGCAGGAGGATATACGTTCTTATTATGATTGGTCTCTCTATATTTTATGAACAAAACATCATCACTCATGAAATTTAGGTCAAGCGATTATCTTAGCAAACAACACAGCGATGTTAGAAAACCAGATAAGAAGATCAACAATTCAAGATACAATGAAGCCTACGCCAATGCAGTTCCCTAGTGGCTCAGAATACTTTTATAAAGTCCTACTATAGATAAGATTGTAAGCTAGATAGACACGTTTCCAAATGACTTGACAATAAGTGAAGCAGAATCAAGAGACTCAAGCCAAGGTGATCCAATATGGCTATGTCAATCTGAGCAACCAACAATACACGTTTCAAGCAACAATGTATTATTAGCAAAATTAAATCAAATTCAAGCGAATAACCAAATGAAAATGGTATTTCCCATTTTGAATTGGTATTTACCGATCCCTTCAAGCAAGTGTGGTTATCAGTTTGGTTATAAGGTCCGTAAAGTCATCAATCAGCTGTTATACGTCATAGTTATCACCGAAAAATCGTGGTACATATTTACCTAACTCCGGAGTAGTTTTATCACAGTTTTATATTTCTGGTTATTATTTTAAATGCTACAAGGTTGAATTTTGGCGGGTATTGGACATTTTTGTTGTACCTCAGCTTCATTTTTGGGAAACCTGATACAGGCTTCAGTTTTAGCATAAAGTGGTTCACCTTATTAGTTATACTGATTACTGTTGTTGGGGTCACTTTAAACCTATTTCCTTGGTGTGTAGCCATATATCACAAAAATATTAAATTATATATAAAGGGTGTTCAGATAAGGACGCTCGAAAGTTAAAATGGAAAAAAAGGAAAAAAATTTAAGTCAGCACTAAAAGTCTATATTGATCGTAAATAGCATTCGACGACATTATGTATGGAAGATTATATCGTTTAAATGGCCACCGCCACTGCGCTGTACAGCGTGCATTCGCATGGTCCAATTTTCGAGCACTTTTCCGCACATTTCAGCGTCTACCTGTCCGAGGACGCGAATGATGTTGGCCCTTAATGCTGCAATTGTTTGTGGCTTATCCGCATACACTTGAGACTTCACGTAGCCCCACAGGAAAAAGTCTAAAGGCGTTATATCGCACGATCTTGGTGGCCAGTGCACATCGCCGCCGCGCGAAATAATGAAACCGTTGAACTTTTCATGCAGTAAATCCAGCGTTGCGCGTGCGGTGTGGCACGTAGCGCCGTCCTGCTGGAACCAGATGTCTGTTAGATCCATATCGTCCAGTTGAGGCCACAGGAAATCATTAATCATGGCGCGATACCGATTTCCATTGACCGTAAGCGCGTTGCCCATAGCGTCCTCAAAAAAATATGGACCGATTACGCCGCCAGCCCAGAAACCGCACTTTAGCAGGATGCATAGCAATTGAGCAAGTCACTTCAGGATTTTGGTCAGCCCATATACGGCAATTCTGTTTATTGACATACCCATTCATCCAGAAATGCGCCTCGTCGCGGAAGATGATTTTTCGTGCAAATGCAGGGTCGACTTGCAACTGCTCTAGAGCCCATGCGGCAAATGTACGGCGCTGTCCATGGTCTTGCGGTTTCAATTCTTGCGTCAATTGAATTTTGGACGCGTGCAATTTCAAGTCTCGACGCATAATTGTCCATGTTGAGGTCTTTGGAAGGGCAAGTTCTTGTGCACGTCGCCGCAATGACTGATTCGGGTCTTGACGCACGCTCTCTCGCACAGCAGCAATATTCTCGATTGTTCTTACTGTTCGTTGCCGTACGGATGTTGTTTGGTCTGCCACTGAGCCAGTTCTCTCAAATTTATTGAGCAGACGTCGAATAGTGGACTCAGCAGGACGGCCATGCGCACCATAAATTGGACGCAATGCGCGGAACGTTTCACGAACCGAACATCTGTTTTGATGATAAATTTTCACAATTTCCACGCGTTGTTGAATCGTGTACTGCTCCATGATTAAATGTCAAGACTAACTTAATAACCTCACAAAATTTGACAGCTGTATCCCCACCGGTTTGGGCGCGCGCGCCGTTCAAACATCCAGCGTCCCTATCTGAACACCCTTTATATACTCACTGTGTCCACCTGTATACAATTTTGCAATATCTTTTTTTCATCCCTTTATCGTGCTAAATTGATGAATGTTTTCTTTGACATGCGGAAAAGTTCAAAGAATTGAAAGTTATCTTAGCTACAAAGCCATGAAACTGTTCGGCGTCGTATCATTTATTTTCACGACAAACTTGTTTAAAATTGAGAGAGATTTTCTCAAGTGATTCAACACCTGAACAGTGTCTTCTGAACAACTTGCAACAAAACCGCGGTTAAAATTAACGCGTTCAAACGATTCGAGTAACTGACATCATCAACTTGTGTGTCATCTTAAACCACATTATAACCGCTGCAAATAACACAGAAATTTGGTTATTCGCTTGGATTTGATTTTAGTGAGAGCTTAAAGGACTGCTGTCAGCAAAGTTTGACTTCATTTCTATCCATAGTAAAAAAAATCACTTACTATGGCCGTTCTAAGAATGTCGTCTAATAGAATACTGAGTTCAAAACTCGTGCGTAAATAACATAAGGCAATTTCAAAACGAAGAAGGATAATTGAACACCTAGCAAAGCGAATTAACCATGTATTTATAATGAATCGTGAATATGATAAATGTCAGTCATCCAAATGCACAACCCGACAAGTCCATTAAAAAGAATTTTAGGGAAATCGCAAAAAACGTTTACAACGTCTATTTGTCCTAACAAACTGAAACAATATTTTTTATTAAGAAAAATGTGTATCGAAAAACTGGTTCCCGAAAATATAAATATATATATATATATATATATATATATATATATAAATAATTACTTAAATTAGGGTTAAAGTTTGGACATGTCGGGTTTAGCATATAAAACGTGGTGACTTGTCGGGTTTTGGTTACTAAATTTGGTTAGAACAAGGCGAATTGGCAAAACGCGAACAAACTTTTGGAATTACTTTATTACAAAGTAGTATTTAGAAAATGCATATTTCAGACAACATAAAATTTGTGTTTTCTGAACATCAAAAAGTTTCTTCTATACAAAACAACTGTATTGGCCTCAGTACCATTTGGTGAGGTTGAAGTGGATGGAAGAGGAAGGTCATCGAAGACACTTTTGAAAAATGATAAGGCTTCATCATTTCTCCAATTACTTTCATAATGTTTTAAAATCAAATTCTTATCTGATTTCAACGGCATTACAAAGTCTACAATGCTTGGTTTAATTTCTAGCTTTCTTCTTCTTCTCAGCAACGACTGGTTTGTGCCCATGTCATTCTTATAGAAACTTTAATCTTTTACTGCATAACCGGTTTCAGTTTTTGAAATTATGATGCGTTTGAACACTTGCAATTTAAAATGCCACTGGTTGTTGGTTTCATAACTATCTGAACTTTTGATTTCCAGTCCTGTACAGGAACATCAACCCCCAACTTGTAGATGCTTCCCCACGTCTCTATTATTTTCATGTATTGTTCTGGACTCGCAATTTCAAGTGACTCGTCAATAACCTTCTCAATTTGTCCAAATAGCCTATCTGGTGGAATATAGTAATGCCCTTAAACCGGAAAAAATATTTCATTTTTTTCTATGTTGGGGGTACTGCAATTTAATAACCAATGGGATAACATCCCAGTGACAATGGAGTTCTTATTTTGCGCACCGCAACCATCACAAAAAAGGCGAACGACTTTAGTAGATTCACTAAATTTAAATGTGCTTAGAGTATGATATAGTGCTGATGCTATTTCATTGGATCCCCTTTGATCATCTAGTTCAGTCCATACGTAGGAGTTGACTGAAGTTGGATTTATTTTTCCTTTAGAAGTCCCCTGTACAATTTATTCAAAATGATAGAAGTTTAGCTGCATATAAAGTAGGCTGCTTGATCTGCGATTTTTGGCAGAGCCACTCTGCGCTATGCAGAAGCCACGTTAACTATAGCAGCGATGTCATTGTCAGTGATTCTAGCGCCTGGATTTCGTCTCATCCACACTGCACTGCTTTGAACGGATTGAAAAATACCCTGTCGAGGCGCTGTAGCCTGTGTGTCGTGTGCGGTGGAGTGCTGAGCATATGGATGTTGTTATTACGAGCGTACTCTATCACCGCTAGCTCTTTGCGGCTTCCGTGACCATCAAGAATCAAAAGAACTGGATTCTCCTTCGAAGGCTGCACATGGTGTTTGAAATGTTGTAACCACGTCAGAAATATCTCAGCATTCATCCATCCAGTTTCGCGTGGAACAGCAATACTTTCGGCTGGAGGTCCTATCATCAAACGATCATTTTAGTCCATCCTTTTCCTCGGGAAAACGAAAAGAGGGTGTATAAAATGTCCAGTCGCAATCATAGAAAACATTAACGTGATGTTTTTCCCCTCTCACCTGAAGTCAACTTACCAACTTGCTTTTTTTCTTTTCTAGAAATTACTTTTTCATTCTTGTTAACAGTAGAAACTCCAGTTTCATCAGCATTGTATATTCTGGATGGACGGAATTTCTTTTCCTGTAGTAATTTGTCGAGATGATCATAAAAGCGGTCCACTTGAGGTTTGTTAGATCAACTGCCCTCGCAATGCTGGTGGATTCTGGAGTTCTGAGAGCAATATCTGGATATCTTTTTAATAAAAGTCCTTGTCTGCTATTTTTTTCTGTTTATTAAACCTGAGTGGAATTTTAAGGCGCTCTGCAAACTGAAATGCCAATCTCAGAAACGGCATCAGACGATTATCAAGATCCTTCACATTCTGTAAATGATCTTCTGAGAATGTGTTTTCAAATCTCCCTAGTTTTGGTACCAAGTTAACCTGTTGTCCTTTATTAAGAGTACTTCTCGGCACGACATACCTGTCAGCTGCTTCTCTAAGCGAAAACTTCTTTTCTTTAACACTTTGTATAGCCTGTTTCCTTACATTTTGGCATTTTTCAGGGTGTCTGCAATAAACAAATGGACTATAATTAATCTCCTATTATAAAATACCGATGTAATACAAAAAATACGCGATAGAAACATTTAAATAAAGATTTTATCTCCACTCAACAAGTGTCCGAGGGTACCCGACAAAATTGTGTCCAGTTTTACCCGACCGTCTCGTTCCAACCTTCTATTTATATAAAAAAAACATCAATCCCAGCGACATAAAATAACCTAAACATTAAACTATAATAATTTCTGCTTAGAATAATTTCTAAATGATCATAGAGTACTTACATTCAATGTCCATAAACTGTGTTTGAAGAGTAAACGGCGCGCGAAAATATCTCGGTGATGAAAACAATTAACTGTCACTTGTTATCCACTAGATGATTACGTCAGTACTGCAGTGAATATTCAACTACGCGGCGCTGCGAACATTTTGACGTATACACTATTTATCTATGTGTGCGTGGTTGCCTAGAACGGACAGTGTCCTAGACTACCCGCCGACCGGGACTATCCGACTCTTCCCTACATTTTCATGTTTACTGGGATGTAATCTACATTTATTTTCCGCACGCGTTTGTGAAAAAACGTAATTGAAATCGTACGTAATCGTAATGTATACCTTTAAAGAAAAGTCATATTATCTGTTTTGCCCGTCAAAGCAACCAGGCAAAGGATTTGATTTTTATTTTGGGTACCGATAAAACCCGGCCTTAAATTCCATATCATGCTGTTAACGTCATAAAATAAAGGTTGCCCACACTCAAGTCTCGTTGAGAAAAAATGCAGATAATCTAAATTTCCCTTTTTGGATGTAAAAGTAATTTCATGCAAAATGTTTAGTTATGAACTTTAAGTTGTTGGAAACTTCTGGGCTGAAGCAACCAGCATAACGCAGATCCAGAGGGCAAACATTTCCCTCTTCAAGGGTTTTCCGACTGAGAGCGGTTTCTCCAATATGGTTAAGTATTTCTCATCACAACAATTTATAAGTTTTTTTTTACTTTTTTTATGCATAATTTCAGTACAGTTTCAGTCCCCACGCCCCCTGGCTCTGCGCTCAATAAGCATACAAACTCCAAATTACCATCATGTAAAAAATCAACAAATTGAAAAAAGTTATTTTTCCAGTAACCTGGATTTAGGGTAAGCCTTACAGCACAATGAAATTGCTTGAATTTTGGTTCGCGAAGGCGGCTCTGGATAAACTTTCTTCTCTTTCACCCTTTCCGTCTCCTATCCATTAATAATGTAATGACACCATGTTTATTTACATTTAATATTAAAAAACTAACTACCGAAAGTATACCGACTAGAACACCTGGAAGCGTTATCAATTTTACCAAACCAAGCATCAGAAATCAATTGATAGATAACTAGAGATTCCTAGACCTCATTATGATATAGCAAATAATATTATGATAATGGTTATCGCATTGTAATCAATTTTTTTATTGTTCCATTGTATAACAAGATTAATCGTGAATCCAGATAAGGAAGTCCTGGAAATACTTGAGAATGCTCAAGTGGTTTGATAAATAGTAGTAATCCCACATGCTTGACGACCAATAAAGCCATATTTATTGACAGAATCTTCTTTACTGTAAACGTTTAAATCACAAAGCTGATCTTCTTTACAATAACAATTCATAAAATTACTTCCCTGTCTTCCAGATGATAGTTAGTTTGTTTTTTCTTTCCATTCATCACATTCCTATACAGTATGTTACTACAAAAAAACAGCATTTTAAGAGGGTACCATGCTAAACCAGCATAGCCCAGGACCGTCTGGGGTAGGCACTCCCGCCCCCATAAAAGGACAAGCGAGCATGAGGCTAACTGTCGGTTTTTTAATGTACCAGATACATCGTCCATCGCCGAAAATGCCAAAAGCCCTCCTAAAAATCGCGAAAACCCATCCAGGACAAAATTCCAATGTAGAGTCCATATGAAGAAGAAACCTCAGCAAATTTGACTACGCCATCTTGTAAAAATAAAAATAATTTTGCGATAAGTCCAGTATATCAAACAAATGTCTATCTGGGAATTTCAAGGCCTACCTAGGAAGTTATATGTTTTTTATTTTAAAATATCTAAGGTTTGGCATATTATACATTTTTAGAATTAGAATTGAAAACTCTATCCACCTGGGCAAAGAATCCAATATGCCGTCCTAAAAAAAAAAAGTTGATGATGAAGGATAAGGGACGAAACATCATATAAAAATTTTAAGTATGCCATCTTGTAGAGGAGAAAGAGTGGCCATGTTAATGTGCAATTTATTTTGATATCTCACTACAAATAAAATCAGGAAAAAATTAAAGCTATTTTGGAAAATTTCAGTTTTTCCATCTCTGTTCGGATGTACTTTGAGTTTCGAAACTCTCCAAGCGACATTTTGTTGATTACCTAAATACGCAACTTCGCCTCCATTTAACCGACTTCTTGTCTCTTACCTTTTCCGAGATCCCAATGGTAAGTGTCGAATTTGAATCACCCGGTATATGAGTGATATGTTATTTGATTTTATGACGTAATAATATATAGTACAGTATTTAGGTATTTATCAAGAGATCTTATAATCAGTTATCAAACATTGTTGACAAGCAGTTTTACACCAGACCTCCACATAAATAAGGCTTTCATGAAAAGCCTAAATAGTGCATAACTTGTTGTGACAAAACCTACGGCTTTTGATGCCATTGGATTACATGAAAAACTGTACTCTAAGTTGTTTCGGAGGCGTGAGAAGTATAGAGTCAGTGCCACTTTACGCCATTTTTAACTAGACTAGAACATTGATAGATTTCCTATTAATTTATCGCAATCAGATTGATCAACGTTGTGTGTGTGTAGATACGTTCAACGTTGAAAATCTAGAAAACAATATTTAAATTATCAATAAGAATGTGTTAGAATCAAACAAACGATTGAATACCATTGACTTTCTTATTTATCTTATTCATGCGGTTTTAGTGGCTTGTTTTGGCAGCAGGTGGCACTTGTAAGCAGACATATTACCATTATCCCTAGATCTCTGACAGGGACTAGTTACTGCTAGTTAGTCCCATTTCCTTCGTATCACATGACGAAACAGCTTGGTACAAGGTTGGATGACAGCAATTTTCTTACTTGTATGTCGAATTTGGAGTTCTTTTTTCAGTTTGAACAAAATATATGAAATAACTTGGTAACAATAACTTTATGTGTAAATGTGTTCCATACTATCCCATTGTACAAATACATTTTATAAGATATTTTAACCACAGTTATTTAGACTACGGATGTATATAGTATATATTTGGTATTTATTAAGAATTTTATATTGTAATTAATTGTTTTATTTTGTATATTGTATATATCCTACAATTTTTTAATAAAAATATGAACAGTATGGACTTCGCAATATCTCTATTCTCCACACAAAAATACCTGTAGATCTTCAGAAATGCCTTTTGGATATTAAGGCATTGTCACGTGCCAAAATCACGTAACATTTTTTACTATTTATCACTTATCCGTAATTTGAATTTCTCTTCATTGATAATAGAGTGCCCATTCCTAGGCCAAACCCTTTTCGATTATTTTCTTTTGGCAAATTTGATAGTTTATTGATTGTATAATTTCACTCGTATTATATCTTTCTTTTTCAGCGATTCAGTATGGTGTTGACGATCAGCAAAAAACTCTGTAGTTTTTCTCGGTTAGTTGGTTTCCTATAAAACATATCTTCTTCAAGGCCACTCAAGATACCTTTTTCTAGAACGATACATGTTCTGCGTGATTCGTTATTCTGTTTCCGTTGAGGTCGTGCTGCAGGGGCCGTTTCGTCATTTTCCGGACTCTGGGATATTAGGCCTCAAGCGCCAATTCATGGACTAAGTTTAGTCATTTTGGTTTGGGTGCTACGTCTTTCATTTTTTTATGGGATTTTGACCCTCAGCCTCAATAGAAACAGAAGAGAATCATCATACTTTCTCCTCCAGTAGGTTGCATCTTGTAGCAGTTTTGCAAATTGGTGGAAGCCATCCCCTTGAAAAAAAACCCTGATGTGAACAGGGTTTTTTTTTACTACCATAATTATAATAAATAATGAGGCAAGCAGCCCCTGCCCAGTGACGTGCCCACTACACAAGAAGACCTACAGATAAGTTTAATATTTAGGCGCAAAATATCTGTAAATACTTCGGGTGTATACCATGGTAAAGTTTTCGCGGGGTTATCTCGAAAAATAATTTTGTCAGGTTGTATTTAAGATTTATAACATCCTTTCATTCTTTGTATTACTCGCACTCCAGTAGTGGAGCACATGTGCGTTTACTAATCAATATATGGTGATTCATTTAATATCTTGTTTTATTTGGCTCTCTCTGTGTGTACTGTTACTTAATTTTCGTCATCTCTGTTAGATTCTCCTTGTGTGATGGTCAAGCAAACCAAGTTCCGACTAACATCTCAGGGAGTTGTGGCTTAATCCGTCCTAAGTCACTGGCGCTCTTAACCCTCCCCTACTCTCCGCTTTATTGAGCTAGGGCCTAAATTTGCACGCCACTAGACAACGGTTTTGCTTGAACCAACCGTTAGATAGTATTTATCATTGTGTTTTATTAATTAACCAAAGAAAGGCGTGGAAGCATCCGAAACGCCAATAAAAATTAAAACTTAGGCCAATACGATTTTTTTCGTGAGATGTGGCGATTGAAGCTAAACACAGAGATCTCGAGATACATGACTAATAAATTCAGTTATTTTTTCAAATACATATCTAAAATCAAACCCGTTATCAGCCGTTCTGTAAATTGACTCATTATCCATTGTTATTGTTTATGTTACGTGCCGCTAGCGTGCACCACACTAGATAATACGCAATGAGTTGCAGGTATAATTACAAATACATTACATCTAATGTTACCGCCAATTATATTACATACTTTATACTTTAATGTCTAGTAATCCAACTAATTTATAGTAAATACTTGTAATTATGGATGTGGCACAGTAAAACTGTTCA